AAAAAAAAAAAAAAAAAAAAAAAAAAAAAAAAAAAAGAGAGGTGAGTGGCTTCCAAGATATAACACAAGTGAGCAGTTGTCTGAATTTGAACCCAGGCCCAACCAAGCAACATCTGAGATCTGGCGGCGGAGGGCCACACAGTCTAAGGATTGTGCAAGAAGTTAATGGGCCCAGGAGCTCCCCACCTGAGGGCATCATCAGAGGGTGGACTGGCCAGGCATTCAGAGGGAGTCTGGGAAACGAGGTCAGAAACTGTGGGGAGAGCCCTGGAAAGGGTAAACTGAGGGAAGGGGATGTTATTAATAACACTGGTGACCAGGAGTATGGAGGAGCAGATGCTGAGAATGAAGGGGAAGTCTTGCAGGAGAAAGGTTTATATTTGAGGAGCACTGCCAGAGGTTGGCAGCACTCCTGCCCTGGGGTCCCAGGGACCCTCACAGAGCCCTGGCCCAGGGAACTCTCACCTGGTTCCTTGTCTGGGCTGTCGCCAGGCAGAGGATGCAGAGAGACTCCGGGGGTGTCTTGCCCAGGAGCCCCTACATTACGGTCCCGAGAGGGCACCCCCATGCCTCCCTTCCGATCTGTAGTGCCTGGCTTCTCGGCTGGGGAGATAGAAAGGGAGAAAGGAGGAAATGAAAAAACAGCAACTCCAACACACAACCACTGGGAGATCCAAGATGCTGTACTCCAGCCCCTCTTCCCCACCATGAGGAGACCCATCTTCCCTCAAGTCCGAGAAACCCTACCCCACTGCCTCCTCCTACAAACCCAGGAGTCCAGGCCCAGCCCCTCCTCCTCAAGTTCCAGAAGTCGTCTCCCATCCCCTCCTCCCTCAGACCCAGGAGTCCAGTCTCCCATCCCCTCCTCCCTCAGACCCAGGAGTCCAGTCTCCCATCCCCTCCTCCCTCAGACCCAGGAGTCCAGTCTCCCATCCCCTCCTCCCTCAGACCCAGGAGTCCAGTCTCCCATCCCCTCCTCCCTCAGACCCAGGAGTCCAGTCTCCCATCCCCTCCTCCCTCAGACCCAGGAGTCCAGTCTCCCATCCCCTCCTCCCTCAGACCCAGGAGTCCAGTCTCCCATCCCCTCCTCCCTCAGACCCAGGAGTCCAGTCTCCCATCCCCTCCTCCCTCAGACCCAGGAGTCCAGTCTCCCATCCCCTCCTCCCTCAGACCCAGGAGTCCAGTCTCCCATCCCCTCCTCCCTCAGACCCAGGAGTCCAGTCTCCCATCCCCTCCTCCCTCAGACCCAGGAGTCCAGTCTCCCATCCCCTCCTCCCTCAGACCCAGGAGTCCAGTCTCCCATCCCCTCCTCCCTCAGACCCAGGAGTCCAGTCTCCCATCCCCTCCTCCCTCAGACCCAGGAGTCCAGTCTCCCATCCCCTCCTCCCTCAGACCCAGGAGTCCAGTCTCCCATCCCCTCCTCCCTCAGACCCAGGAGTCCAGTCTCCCATCCCCTCCTCCCTCAGACCCAGGAGTCCAGTCTCCCATCCCCTCCTCCCTCAGACCCAGGAGTCCAGTCTCCCATCCTCTCCTCCCCACTCAGGTCTAGAGGATGGATGCTCTGGATACAGGTCCATTACCATCAATCTCGCCTTTGAGGTGTCGAAAATCTGGAGCTGAAACCAGAGGGAGTCAGTGAGGTGGGGGTGGGGCAGGGGAAGACAGGGCAGGGCAGAGGCCAGGGCCACCTTACCCTGGGGCTCTCCCCGGTTCCAGCGGGCAGCATCCAGGATGCTGCTCAGTCCTTTCTTGGTCTTGGGAGGCTCATCTGACCGCCGGTTCCCCATCACCTGTGGGAAGGTGGGGGGAAGGGAGGGCTGAGCATTTCTGAGAAACCAACAAAGCAGAATTGGACCCTAGGTATCAGAGCTACAAGGCTCCCCTAGGGGCATCTCTGGAGGAGAAAGGGCCAGGTTTGGGTGCTGAGGAAAGCACCTTTTTCCGGAAGAAGTTCCTCCCTGGCTTCTTGTCCCCGCTCTTGGTCCGCACCCCAAGGTGGCGCATGTACAGGCTGATGGCATTGACCACAGCGGCACTGTGGGGAGGGGACAGTGAGGGCCCCAACACACACGCACAGATGTGCACACTACTGCCCCAGAGGCAGGGGCTGGCCTTCTCTCCTAAGCCACAGTCAGTTCCTATGAGTCTCCAAGGAAAGGTGAGGGGATTCAAAAGGACAGAGGCCAGTTGCTCCATGCCCAGGACCTGGGAGTCTAGCCCCAGCCTCTCCTCCCTTAGGCCCAGGAGACCAAATGCCTCCCCCTGTTGTCCTCTGCTCCCATCACCTCTTTTCTTCATCAGTAGAGATGGTATGTCTGCAGGGAGAAGAAAGAAGTTTGTGACAAATTTGCTAAGCCTAGGGTCCCTGTCCACCTAGTACACATCTCCGGTTGCTGTCCACATGCTCTGGAAGCTGGGATAGGGAAGGACAGGTGAATTGGAGAGGGGAAACTGCCAAAGCAACTGGGAAGAACCACAGGAGGGAGGAGGATCTCGCATCCAGGAGGACAGGAATTGCAAGGATAGGACCCAAGTGCCATGCCCAAGCAAGAGAGAGGAGACAAGATCAGGAAACTGTGAGGGAACCCAGAAGCTGGGAAGGAAGACTCAGAGCCAGGATGAATTAAAATGCCAGGACCTGGGGAAGAGCCCAGATGCTAGGAAATGAATGCTGAAGCTGAAAAGGGAGCCTGCAAACTAGGGATGGAACAGGCCAGAGGCAGCAGAGGGTGCCCTGACAGCTGGGGAGGGAGCTGGCCACTTACTGCATCTCCTCCAGGTGGGTCAGCAGCCGCTCAGCCACGTGCCGCTCCCGAGCTTCGTAGCTGGCACGGTCCCGCCCAACCCAGGCCTCTAGTTGGGCCAGCTCCTGCTCCCAGGGCGTCATGCCCATGAGCCGCTTGGAGCGGAAGTCCTCCAGCTGACGGCTCACGGCTGCTTGCTGGCTCTGCACCACCTCCTGCACAAACCGCCGCTGGATATCCTCGGAGATGAGCTCAGGCCGTGTACGGTCTGCAGGGACACACAGGGGCTGGGGCAAGCTCCCTGGTCACTTGCACCAGTCCCCACCCATCCTTGGACTCCAACAGCCATGCTTCCTTGGACTACCACAGTCAAGAATGAATGAATGAATCTCAACTGCCCAAGTAGAGCCTGGGAATGTGGTCTCTCTCCCTGGGGCCTCCTGGGAGGCGGGGAACATGCTAAAGACCTCTCCCTCATCCCTTGTCCCCTCCTCCTCTCCTTACCAAGTTCAAAGGCGACACTGAGAGGAACTGACACCCGCAGAATCTGATCAGGAGAGAGACTGGAGTGAAAGGGAGGACTTGGGAGTGGTGGGATGCAGCCTGAGGTCTGATGGGAACAATGGCCTGAGGGAGGGTGCTGGGGAAGGCCCAGGTTGGCAGTTGCCCCCGGAATAGCTGCCCTTCCCACTGCCCTCAGCTGGGTGGAGGTTGTGAGGTACAGGGTTGCTCTCCAAGACCAAGCAGGGGGTGGTAGAATGGGGCTGCTTGGAGGCATCTCTCACCGCAGTCTTCTCCAGGAAGCTGTGGCAGAAGTCGAGGAAGGCTTTCTTGACCTCCTTGGGGCCCAGTGAGCCCAGCATGTCCGCATGCAGGCAGCAGAGCTGGGGAGACACAGGGTGTGATTCTCCTCCCTCCCACCCCTGCCGAAGCACACTCCCCCTTTGGTAAGCCTAAAGGCCTTTCCAGCCTCCTGGCCTCCCCATGGCTGTGGGACTCAGATGCAATTTCCTCTGGGAAGTGTTCAGTGATCTCCACTCCCACCCCAAGGCCCTTACCTCCTTTGCAACTTCCACGGGGCCACCATGAGCATTTTCTAATTTTCTGTCCTGTAATATAGTTCTTTATGGTTCTATATCCTCCCTAGGATGATGTCGACTACGACTGGCTATACTGAGAGCTTAATGTGTAACAGGCACTGTTATAAACGCTTTAAATGCATTAACCTGTTCAATCATACAGACCATCATTATTCCCATTTTACAGATGAGAAAACTGAACTCATGGAGCTTGCTTAAGGTCACACAGCTAGTAGTAAGTGGCAAAGCTAGGATTCAAACCCAGGCAACCTGTCTCCACTATACTCCACTGCCTAGAAATATTGTTAGCAACTTGATGGGGGGTGTGTGTGTGTGTATGTGTTTGGGTGAGGGGTAGGTTCTGATTCATCCTGGACATGGCCCAGCACATAGTGAGGGCTTGGTAAATAAATCGGTGGACAAGTGGGGCTCACTCATGCATTTGTCAAGCATTTCTTGAGGTTGCCTGTGGGCCAGCCCTGGACTGGGTGATGCTCCAACCTGTCCAGGCTCCTGGGGGACTCTCACTGGGTGAGTGACATAGTCTTAGTGTGCTAAAGACTATGGGGGCGGGACTCTTTCTCCACTTTAAACAGTTCCAACAAATCTACGTCCACACTCCCCACTCCCACTTCTAAAATAGAGCAAAATTCTATGAAAGGCTAAGAGGAAGCAGCCTATCTTTCTTTCGACCACTCCTCCAAGCTGTTGAAGTGAGGGTACAGCATGCGGATAAATCTCAAAATGCCAGAGGCCATCTGGGTCACCTCAGGTGAACCCCTGACCTTCTCTAGGTCTCAGTTTCCACATCTGTAAAAGAACATGATAATATAATCCAGGGCTGAGGTCCAGGATCTGAAGGTCACATGTTCTAGAAACCCCAAGGATCAGGTGGGGATTCCCTTGCCCAGAGGGCCAGAGCCATGTGCAGGGGAGGGGCAGCCACGTTTCTGTAGAGAGAATGCAGATGGAGAGATACTGGCGAATTCCTGATTTTCTGTCAGCTTCTAATCCTTTGGCATCAGGGTGACCAGCCTCCTGCCTTGCAGATGATGTTCCCTTCTTTCTGCATCCCCCGGCTCCCTGCCACTACTTCTATCAGTCTCCTAGTTTTCTACAGAGATTCACTATGCAGTTCCATTCAGTGCAGTGCAGTGAACTATCCTTCCGCTCGGGTCCTGTGTTGGGCTGAACTGGGTTTCCTTGGGATGAGACTCTTTTCTACAGATAGCCCCGGCAGCCAGCACTGTGGCTTCTCCCTTCCTAAATCACCTGCCAGGTTTCCTAGAGTCTGCAGGCGTTTCTGGGCTGCATCGTTCTGCCTCCACATCTCCCAGGTATATTCTGCCTGATCCAGGAGGTTTCTGGATCAACAATTACATTCTGCCTGCCTTGTGGGCTGCTTGTGGTGGTTTTCTGGTTTCTGGATCAGGGAAACCAGAAACCTGCTGTGCCACCTAGACCCGGGACGGCTAACAGCTTTCTCCCAAGCACCAATCCTGAATGACTGGCTGGTGGCACCTGCTGAGAAGGCCATGTAGAGAAAGATTTGATTCCCCACCAGAGTCCGTGGGAACTGTGCTGTCATTGATGGGTGATGCTGCCACAGGCCTGGAAAGGGGACGGGACGTGGTCTCTGTCAGGACGTGGATTCTGTTGCTCTCTGATCAGCCCTGCCACATACACTCTCCTGCCTGCGTTCGCTGTTCACTGAGATTTACATGGGCACCTGCAATCTTGGCTAGATCACATGGCGGCTTCTGACTCTCCTCTATGGTGTGCTTTATTTCCAGATCTTGTGCTGTGCATTCTGGATCTGGTTTTCCAGATCCTCCTGGCTCATATTCACTGGTCTAGCTCGCTGAAAGCTGTGGCCGGTTCCATTGCCTGCCCAGCCCTGCTCTCACCAGGGGTCCCGGCTCGAATTGCAGGGCCACGTGCTGCAGGAGGGCCATGAGGTGGGCCGGGCGCCGCTTCACCTGCTCCAGGCTTTGGAACTGGCTGTTTTGCTCCTCCGAGTTCTGGAGGTGGGGATGTGAATGAGTATAAAGGTGAGAAGACGAGGGGCCTTGGACCTGGTCCTACCAGTTCCCTGGCACTTCCCAATGGATACAAGCTGGGGAAGATCCTGGGAAGTGGGAGGTAGAGATGGTGGTGGGAAGTAAGGGCAGGTGGTTGGGGAGAATGGATGAGATTTAATGTTATATTTATCAATAGGCAATGAGGACAGAAATTTGGAGAAGGAATGGAGATCCATGTTGGGGGGGCAGTGATAAAAATTGGAATTAAGAGTAAGAGGGTGAGAGTCTCTGCTGTAATGGGGGTACTAAGCATGGGGCAGGGGAGATGAGGAAAGGGGCAGCAGGAAGATGAAAGAACACGAGGTAGGCAGTGGGAGGAGGCAGGGTGGATGGCATCAGAGGATGGAGAACTGGACCTCTTGTGGGAGGGGACACTGAGGATGGGACAGAAGATTTTCCACCCCATCTTCTGCTCACCGTCTCCAGCTCGTTCTCAAAATCCTCGTCCTCAGCCCCAATGATGCTGATGGGCACCAGGCCAGGCCGGGGGGGCCCTGGGGCCTGTGGAAGGGGAGGGACGGCTTCAGTCCACAGTGCTCCCACTCACAGCCCCCGAGTCCCCTCAGCCCTTACTGTCTCCACTCACCGCCCCTTGGGCAACGTCTTCCATCTCCATGGGCTCTGCAAGGCTGGGGAAGAGGAGGGGCTGTGGTTAGGGCGGAGGAGGCGGTACAGGGCAGTTACTCACAGATTCCCAGCCCAGGTGCAAAGGTGAGTAAACAGCCTCCCCCGTCCCGGCCTCTGCAGCTCAATGGGGCCTCTGTGTGGCGACAAAGAGCCCTTGAGAGGCCAGCTTGGGGGTGGGGAGCCTGAGGATGGGAGTCTGGAGGGGGGGTGGGCTGGAGGCCCAGGAGCCTGGGTCCATCAGAGGGCTGTGTCTGAGAGCCTACAATTTTGGGTCCCTCATGGAGGACAGGCTGCGGGCTGGGGGTTGGTTCCTGAGGGGGCAGGGCCTAGAAGCAAGCAGAGTTAAAAGGAAGGTTAAAGGGGAGGTAAGGAGAATGCTGGGGTGCTGGGGGCTCTCCTCTGCTCTGTGACAGGCTTGGGGCAGGATGTCTCCGCTGAACCCACCGGCCCCACTTCCTGTGACAGGAAGTCACAATGGCAAACCCCCAACCCCCAACTCTCTCCACATAAGAAAACAAAACTCTGAGCCCTCTTCCTGCAGGGTTCTGGAGTCCCCAGACTCCCTGGAGGTGCTTCTTTTCCTCAGGAGCCTCCTATCTTTCCCAGCTTCCAATCCCAGAGAGTAAGTGAGGGTCCTCAGACAGCCCATGCCCAAGGTGTGTCTGTCTCCCTGCACCCTCTGTCTTGCCCCATCTTTTCTTTCTCCAGCCAGCTCTCCCTGGCTGTCTCCCTTGTCTGTCTCATGTCTCTCTCTCCTCCCTGTTTCTTCACCTTTCTGGTTCCCTTCCTCCAGACCTGTCTCTATCTCTCTTCCCTCCTTCTCTCCCCCAGTCTCTCCCCTCTGCTGGCTGCACACCCCTCCCTGCTTCTGTTGCTCCCTGCCTCTCTGTCCTAAATCTGGTTTCTGTAGCCACCATCTCCATGCCGCTCTGAGTCGTGGCCTCATGTACTGTTTCTCATCTCTATCCCTTTCTCTCCTCCATCTCTTGCTGTCATTCTCATCTTTGTTTCCCCTTCTCCCTGAGTCTTTCCACTCACATCTTCTGTGTCCTTAATTAGTCTGACTAATGCCATGGGAGCCTATGTCAGGCGGGAAGGAACTGTGGAAAGAGGTGGGGTGGACCAGTGGGGGGGCAGCTCCCCACAGCCCAAAGCTATTTATAACCTGGTAGTCTGAGACCAACCCTTCTCCCTCTTCCCTGGGCCTCCTCCCTAGTACTCAATAAATGGTAGCTATGCTTTGGTTATGATTAAACAATGATGCCTTCTGGAGTATCCAAATGCCATCCTGTGGGTCCACCCGAGCAGGCATCATTTTATATCCAAGCTTGGGTAATAAAGATCTGAGCACTGTTGGACACATAAATAAATTTGCAAACCAAGGCAGAAAAATAATAGTTATTTATTATTGAGCTAAACTCAATTAGCACTTGCAGTGTGCTAAGCATTGCTCTAAGTGCTTCTCACCTATTAACTCATTTAACCCTCACAACCAAATGCATCCCATGCTATTGTTATTCTCATTAGAGAGGATAAACCTTTCCCAGGCCACCAGCTGCAACTTCTGGACTGGAAAACATGACCAAGGACATGGAGGGTCCATGCTCATCCCACTTACGGGTGGAAAGGTTCGCCTGAAGCAGGGAGAAACCAAAGGGGCAAAGGAGGGATCCCATATTATCTGAGCAAATGCTCAGTGCCAAGCCCCATATTGTGCATTCGACGAATATTATCTCCTTACTCCTCATCATGATAATAAGAAATAATACCTAACACTTCAGGTGCATTTAGTATGTGCCAGGAACAGCATTACTGCTTTACAGGTATTAACTCATTGAGGTATAATTTTTATTCCCATTTTACAGAGGAGGAAACTGAGGCACAGCTCATAAGGGACAAAGCCAAGATTCAGACTCAGGCATCTGGCTCCAGAGTTTATCTATTTAACACAGACTGTGTTGCTTCAGAGTATGGGGACCCCTCACCCCATCTTTAGAACACTAATATCTGAACCAAAGCTCTGAGACACACACATTAGGTCTAGGCAGGAGTGCAGATTGGACTAGGCTGTCCAGAGGCCTGGGGTGCAGAGAGGACCAGGGTGGGGGCGCAGGCGGGTAGTACTGGCTGTTTCGGACATGGTGGATGAGGGGGTCCCACAAGGGCTGGGTAGTCACAGGTGAAGCTGTCAGAGGATAGATGGAACTATAGGCAACTGAGGGAGAACTGTGTGTTGAGGATCTGGGTGTCAGGGCAGGTTTTGAAGGTCCATAGGGGTGAAGGACCTAAAGCGAAGCGGGCTCATGTGGGGGACTACATGGCGCCTAGGTTCAATGCTGGGCTCACGGTCTGTAAGACACTGAGCGGATGACCCAGGGTCTCCAAGATTCTCTGGGAGCCTCAAAGAACATAAAAGGGGCCCTGGGAATGTATACGTCCCCAGATTCTGCTTGACACACGGTGGTTCTAAAGGATAGGGGGAACATACGAATCATGATTCTATAGGGAAAGAAGCCAGTTTACGGGACCTCTGAAGACTTAAAAGGGGCTCCGAATTCTATAGGAGTGTGTGGTGGGTCCCCGAGACCAGGGCCCAGGATTCTAGGGGATGATATTGATCTATGAGGACTCCACGTCTACGAGAAGCCGGGTCACCATGGGGAGTCAGCAGGAACCTAGAGGGTCTGTTAGACCTTGTAATCTATATGCAGAGTGGCGAGTCTACACGAGCCTCAAATCTTGCATGGGACGTGGCGCGTCTATACAGGCCCTAAATTTTACAGGGGACATGGAGGTATGCACGGCTGGGGATGCCGTAGCGGACGTGCGGTCAGATTCTGACGCCCGCCGGGGGCCGCGTCCCTCACCTTCTCCGGGTGGGAAAAGAAGCCACCGCACCAGCCGGAACCGAACCCTCCGCGCGCTGGCTCCAGGCTCCTCCCCACCCCTGCCCTCGAGTCGCTCTAGCCGCCCCAGAGGCCACCTTTGCCCCGAGATCCACTCCTCCTGCCGGCCGCTCTAGCCCGCCTCCTGCCAAGCTCCTGCCTCCGGCGACTCTACTCCTCCTGCCGACCGCTCTAGCTCTCCACTAAGCCACGCTGGCCACATAGGGCCGCTCTGGCCTGTCTTGGAGGGCAGGCTTTCCATATCTCGACTGTCCCCGTCACTCTCCCGGGCCACGCCCCCCACTCAGAAGTGCGGATGATTCCAACCCCTGGCCAGAGCTCAATCGGAGATCGACCCGCATTAAGCTTCCCGCTCTACTTCTCTCCCCAACTCGACCAGCTGAATTGCCAATGATCGTACAATTCCCTCCGCGCCCCACCTCCCCTTCCGGGGAACGGCTTTCCATATCTCGACTGTCCCCGTCACTCTCCCGGGCCACGCCCCCCACCCAGAAGTGCGGATGATTCCAACCCCTGGCCAGAGCTCAATCGGAGATCGACCCGCATTAAGCTTCCCGCTCTACTTCTCTCCCCAACTCGGGGACCAGCTGAATTGCCAATGATCGTACAATTCCCTCCGCGCCCCACCTCCCCTTCCGGGGAAGGGGGAAAGCAAAAATCCTGAGTTTGAGTATACCTTTCCCTCGGACATGCTATGTAACCTGGGAAAAGTAATCACGTCTTTCCAGGGCTCAGTCTTCCCATCTGTACAATGGGGAGAGGTCACCAGCTCTCTCCCCTACATCCATCTCCCAGGGTATAATTAATGACCCAGAAAAGAGCTTTCCGAAAACGCTTTCAAATGTACTTTGAAACTTCCAGCTTCATGGAGGCCCACGGCTTTTTTATTATTGTTGTTTTTCTCTTTAGTTGGCTCTAGGACAGCGCTTAGCAGAAAGCACCTGCGAATTCAAATCCTAATTCCATACGGTCTCACGATGTGTGTCGCCTGGAAAGAGTCAGTTCTGCTCCCTGGGCCTCAGCTTCCACACCCATACAACGGGTCTGATCATCTGTCCTCCACTGGGCAGTGGGGGGAGGCCTTGACTCTGTCCTTGCACCGTTCATTCCCACCTGCTGGGCACCCGGCAAGTGCTAGTTCTCCTCTCTTTGCCCCCTTTGACAGATGGGAAAACTGAGGCCCAAGGAGGGGCGGCCGCTGGCTCGGTGGGGCCCGAGGAGGCCCCTCCACTGCGGGCAGCGCCCCAGGCCCCTCCCTCCTCCTCCCCACTTCCCCTAGCGGCCGAGGGGAAGGAGGCCGGGCGGGGCCGGGGCCGGCGTACCTGATGTCCGCGCGGGGAGGTGACCGGCGGGGCGCCCGAGGTCGGGCTCGGAGATCCCGGGCCCTGTGTCCCGGCTCCCGCTTCCTGGCTCCGGCGGGGCAGGAAGTTGGGGCGTTTTTCCGGAGGCCCCCGTCCCGCCGCCCCTCCCCGCTTCCTGCCCTCGCCCCGCGCCCGCCC